CAGAGGTCACAGAATTGAGTTATGGGAGCTTATATGAGATATGCCGCTTTAGAAGTGTGGAGATGTGCTCATTGTGATTATTACGAAGCCTGTTTAATGATGTAGAGGAAGACAAACTCATGCATACATGTGCATGCGGAAGTTTCTTCAATTGAAGGTACATTTCCCATAGGTTGAATTTTATATGTATTCTTTTTTTTAAATTATTCCATTATATCCTTTTAGACACAGACTTTAAATCTGGAATATTCAAATCCAAATCCATTATAAAAATGTTTAAACTGTGTTCATCTGAACTAAGATCAATATAAACCTTTCCAAAATACACTGTCAGCCAAAAGTAATCATTTTTGATGTTTTTGAAAGAAGTTTCTTCTGCCCACCTAGGCTGCATTTAAAAAAAAACCTCAAAGCCATAATATTGTGAAATAATTTTAGAATTTAAAATGTTTTCTATTTTAGTATATTTTGAAATGTAATTTAGTCTTGTGATGAAAAGCTGAATTTCAGTGTCACATGATCCTTCAGAAATCATTCTAATATGCTGATTTACTGCTCAAGAAACATTTCTTCTTATTATCAATGCTGAAAACAGTTGTGATACTTAATATTTTATGGAAATTGTTATACTTTGTTTTTTAGGAAATACAAATCTTTTCAGATGTCTTTGTCATCAATTTAAAGTGTCCTTTCTGAATAAAAGTTTGAATAAAAAGAATTGTAAAAAATCTTACTGACGCCACCTTTTGAATGATAGTGTATATAAACAATTTTAGATTTATTTATTTATAATTAATCAAGTAATTGACAAGGAAATGCTAGCTATGAAACCTTAGCAAGACAAACGAGTCAGCCATTTTCCAAAAACGTTTAGAATGTCATTTTCACCACAGAATGTTATTAAACACAACACATTTCAGATGTGATGAAAATGTTCATGACTTTGACACAAAATTACAACACTCTCCAATGATATATGTATATCTGCTCTTGGTTGGTAAATGAAAATAAGAAGTATGTTTTAAGAGAGTTTATTTAAGTTCACAGGGCTAAAAATGGCCAGAAACACCCGTTGGCTATTTAGCACCTACACTACGGGACCTCAGAGCTCAGCTTGTATGTTCAGAAATTAATTATATTAGACAAGAGCAAATATAGGTCATGTGGAATTAGCAATGCAGACACTTTTCCTCTCTGTCCCTCTTCATCTACATCTCTCTTAAAGAGAGATAGTTCACTCAAAAAAAAAAATTGTGTCATGATCTGCTCACCATCATGACATTTCAGACCAGACCTGAAAACCTCTCACTTTTTCTGGGTATCTGTTGTTCTTTTTCAATATATTACTCTATTACTTGAAATATAACTTGTCTTCATTCTGTTATCTGAACATATGAGAAGGGGTATTACTATTCATTAAACATGAATCCGATTTCAGGAGGAGATTACAAAGCAATTTTCGAAGAAAAAAAAATAACATTCTGTTTTTTGTTGTAACATCGAGTTTGATGTTGAAGGGATAGTAAAACTGATTACAGTGATATCTATGCATCATTACACGCTGATGGGCCTCACAAATGGCTTCAGAATTCATTCTAAAGCAGTTTATATCCTATTACGACTTCATTACACAGGGCGCGTATTGCTTATGGAGTATTGATATCAAATGTCATTGTTCCCTCATCGTTTTGTGTTTCATCAGCCCTCCGGCCCGCTCATCTCACACACAAACACGCATGTACACACGCTCTCCGCTCGGCCTCAGGTGTTTGGGCACAGCTATTACTTTATCAGGCTGTTTTTTCCTGCTCATTCAAATGGCTCCCTGATGAACGGCGCCCCCGCGTTCTACAGAGAGAGATTTTAATTCGTATTATTATTAAAAGAATCACTCACTGCAATCTGTTGCAAAAACACCATCTGCTGGATCACTCGTAGGACCTCCGTTGCTTATTAGGCAGAATTAGACAATGATTTCCTCTCCTCTGCTTTGCATTCCTTCTCCCTCCTCTCTCAACTAATTCAACTTAAGTTGTTTTATGGCACTTCGCAACGAGCTTTTCTGCTGCATTTCATTCCAGTGATTAATTCCCAGATGTCATGTGTTTTGGGATGAGCTCGGAGTGATTGGCAGAGGGGTTAACTCTTTAACAGCCTGGGAAGAGATGGGATTTTGTGCAGGAGTTTTGTCTGTAGGTGTGGAGGCGGTCAGACTGGCGGGAACACGGGGTTCGAATCTGGACTGCGTCATATCCGAATCCCCGCCGCCCTTTCATTTTCTATCTCGCACTCATTGTAATATCAATTTAAAACACCCCTATACATGTTTTCTTACAACTGTTCTCTTAGTCTATTTTAGGATGATTTTTTGCAAATATTTAAAATATTTATTTAAAAAGTATTTATATGCACATCGTGATAGTATATATCGTTCCAACTTGAATTTCTGCAAATTTAATTTAAAAAAATGTATTGCAGTAATGTTGTCAAATTAAACGAGCTCAAAATTAAAACATTCAGACACATTAAAGTAATGAGTAAATGTGTCATAAAATGATGTCACAATACAATAAATATTATGTCACGAATTGCTACTGTGGGGAGAGAAGGAACGCGGAGACACAGGAGATTGACGAACAACAGTCTTTAATTATTCAAAACCAGGGATAACACAAGGCAGACAGGAACACATAGCACATTGCATAGACGACACCGGACAAAAGGAATCACAGAACAGACTACACTATAAATACTAGACTTAACGAGAGAATAAACTAGACACACCTGAACCAAATAACTAATCAGACAAGGGAGAAACTAGGTCACGGAGCATGTGGGGGAGGAAAACAAACACAAAACAGTCCATGGGCATGACATTACTGTAACACCATAACAATTCCACCGGGGAGGGGGGGCGGTCGCTCTAGGGACAGGCTTACATGGGACGGACGGCCTCCAGAGCAGTACCCGTTCCGGGACCCATGGCGGATCAGGTAGTTCAGGGAACCATGGCGGGGCAGGCAGCTCGGGGAGCCATGGCGGAGCAGGCAGACTAGGGAGCCATGGCAGAGCAGACAGTTCAGGGGGCCATGGAGGAGCAGCCAGTTAAGGAGGCCATGGCAGAGCAGACAGTTCAGGAGGCCATGGCGGGAAAAAAATTACTTGGGCGAAATTTCGGGTTCTGAGGCCCTCCGTGGCCTGACGTAGGAGCAGCAACCCTCCCTGGGCTTGACTCGGGAACTGGGGCCCTCCCTGGGCTTGACTCAGAAACAGGGGCCCTCTCTGGGAACGGGAGCCCTCTTCGGGCTTGATGTGGGGACGGGAGCCCTCCCTGGGCTGGACGTGGGAACAGGAGCCCTCTTAGGGCTTAACCTGGGAACTAGAGCCCTCCTTGGGCTGGACGTGGGAACGGGAGCCCTTTCAGGAGCGGACTCAGGGGCTGGAGCCGACACTGGAGCGGACTCAGGGGCTGGAGCCCACAGTCTCTTCCTCCGCATCCTTCTCTTTTGGGCAGAGGTGGAGGAGAATACTGCTGTCATCCTAGGGCTTGGAAGTGAATCGGCCAGCGGGCTTGACTTCGGAGCGGCCGGCGGGCTTGACGATGGAGCGGTTCTGGATCGGGGCCGGACGCTCTCCAGATACCGGAGGATCTCTTCCCTCCAGCTCAGTCCCGTGGTGTCTGGGAGGTCGACGGGGCGATGGTAGTTGGCCCCGATCCAGAACAAAGAATTCAATGTGGCGTCATCCAACGCCGTCTTAACGGCGAGCCCACAGAACTCCCTGGCGTACTCCACAAACGGAAGATCTCTGCGGGCTAGGGCGGCGAATCTCACGGCGATTTCCATGATCGTGGAGGGGAAAAACAGAAAACAAAACACTTTCAAAAAAGGAAACAAAAACAAAGAGAAGGGGCGCCGCTTACTGTTCGGTCCGGTGTTCTGTCACAAATTGCTACTGTGGGGAGCGAAGGAACGCGGAGACGCAGGAGATTCATGAACAACAGTCTTTAATTATTCAAAACCAGGGATAACACAGGGCAGACATGAACACACACATAGCACATTGCATGGACGACACCGGACAAAGGAATCACGAAACAGACTAAACTATAAATACTAGACTTAACGAGAGAATAAACTAGACACACCTGAACCAAATAACTAATCAGACAAGGGAGAAACTAGGTCACGGAGCACGTGGGGGAGGAAAACAAACACAAAACAGTCCATGGGCGTGACATTTTAATAGTCTTAAAATAGGCTTTATTTTTTATACTGATTATAATCTCTATTTGTAATATTTTCTATTTATATACGCACACACTACCTTTAAAACGTTTGGGTATTAGATTTTTTTAAAAATAAATTTTAAAATAAATTCATTGCTTTATTCAGAAAGGATGCATTAAATTGATTGAAAGTGACAGTAAAGACTTTTTACATTCTTGCCAAAAGATTTTAATTTCAAATAAATGCTGTCCACCCCCAAAACAAAATCAAGACTTTGTAAAAGAGCATAATAGGACCCCTTTAAACTTTCTATTCAAAGAATTCTGAAAAAAAAAAAATTTGTATCACTGTTTTCACCAAAATATTCAACATTAATTTATACAGTAAAAAAAAAAAAAATGTTTGAGCACCAAATTAGCATATTTGAATAATTTTTTAAGAATCCTGTGACACTGAAGACTGGAGTAATGACTGCTGAAAATATATTTAAAAAATTATTTATCATTATTTTTGATCAAATAATGTTCAATCAAATGTATTGTTTGATCAAATAGTGTCCTTTTAAATTATAGTCTCGTGATTCAAAACGTTATAATATATTTGCATAGTACAAATCAAAATTTTATTTCAAAAGAGCAAGAGAAGCCCTGGTTTTGGATTCTACCCATGTATTCTCCAGTCTTGTCTCTGTGATTACATGTGGAGTACTGGCTCTGTTTAGGGATCCAGACTCTCACTCAATCTCTCTCTCTATCTCTCTGCTGTCCCCAGGTGGCAGCGAGTCGTCCTGGGATAAAGAGAAACTCCAGTCCCCCCCCTCCTCCAGAGCCCAGCATGGTCTGGCTCACGCCGTCCTCGCCGCTCAGCACGGCCTGTCAGGGTCTCATCTCTCTTCCCTACAACAGAGTCATCTCCTGGCTAACCGTGAGTCATTCATTCATTACATCCACTCATTCACTCAATCACCAGCTCCAGGTGTATTGATTACGCTCAGCCCGATTGAGCTACACGTCGTGTTAGTCATTCATTCTTGGGTTCAGTGCATACTCCCGTTCAGGCTGCCCATTTAGACTGTTCTCCAAGTCACAGTATTGTATAGTGTATTCATGACTAGCAAGTGTTTTTCATGTTTTTTTTAAAGACAACATGAAACATTTCAAACACATTTTACTTCTGTAATGTGACATTTTTGAAGTGAAACTGAGAGGAAAACATTGATTTTATCCATTGGGATTTGACTGGATTGTAAAATATGAGCTATGATATTTAATATTGTATTCCCTCACCTACAAAATCTTAGGTACATAACTATAAAAGTTATTTGAAAAACAGAAAAAAAAAGTATTATTGTGACACTGAAACATTCTGTATTGTATAAAGTGCTATATAAATACATAAGTAAATAAATAATTCATTTTCTTGTTTAGCATAACAAATCTGCACTGACTAAATCAAAACATTTATTAAAGGTGAATTGTGGAATTGTAAAAAATAATGAATGTTTTCGAACATGTTTCCTGAACAGGCCCCCCTCTATCATTGGTCAGACAACCTGATAGTCCCGCCCCCAACTTTATGCCATTGGTCGAGCCAGTGTTGCTGTGTCAGGCTGGTGTGATTGTTTTTATAGAATATTTTACAACACCTTTAAAATAGAAAAAAAGAGTCTGTATTCATAGTTTTCAGTCACATGACTGGCGCAGAGACCTGGAGGGCAAAACATCCACAGAACTGCAGCACAGGGCGGTCAATTTACCATCTGTTTCAAGCCACAAATATTTAGATCTCTTCTCAAAAGAAGAAAAACAAAGATATGTGAACAAACTGAAAGTCATACAGCATCTGCCGCAGTATTTCAATCTCTAAAACAGCAGGACCTTCTATAACAGTGATATTATTCGATCAAATTCAATGATGAAGCATGTTATATACAGGCAAGCAGATGAGCCCAGAATATGAATGAAACTTTGTGCGTTGAGTTCATGTTCTGGGTTCATCTGCTTGCCTATACATAGCATGTTTTATTAATAATCTAAATGCTGAATTTGGTCCCATTAAACCACATTAAGCATGTTCTTCATACTGGTTTTCTATGGGAAAATGCTTAACATGCAAGTTAACATGGTGTTTTAGTTTTGCCCTCCAGGTGGGCATCGCTGTAAGGATGTGACATCATGTGAAAACTATATATTTATTTAATGTTGCCTTTAAATATAAAGTGAGGTAAACAGAAGTGATTAGTGCATCGCGGTCACCGTTTACCAACTAAGTTCCATATAAACAGTCTCTCCCTTTCTCTGTTGTGGTCGTTCAGGGCTGGACCTGCCGTTTATGATGATGCCCCACCCCCTGCTGCCCGTCAGTCTGCCGCCTGCCTCCGTTGCCATGGCGATGAACCAGATGAACCACCTGAACACCATCGCCAACATGGCCGCAGCTGCTCAGATGCACAGCCCCCTGTCCAGAGCAGGAGCATCTGTCATCAAGGTAACGCACGCAGCCTCAAAGTTGAGACTTCAGCGGCCAAACGCAGAGAAGTCATTCATTAGGGCTCTAATGTGCACTCAGATCTCTCAGCTAGAGTCAGCTCATTTTCACCGCGTGCACAGCGCATCAGTCAGAGAACTGCAGATCCCCTCGGATTGGTGTCTCGCTCCGATGATACGTTAGATACGAGCCGGTCTCGCTCTACGAGCCATTTAACGCCTGGGAGAGAGCTGTATACCAAACCATCTTAATTTCTACAGGAGAGAGTTTGATTTGAAATACTCAGAGGAGGAATAACAGAATAAATGTTGTGTTGGGTCCGTGCGGAGCGCGTGTTAGGGAATATTAGATGCAGACTTTAAAGACAAACACTATCTGTTATCTTACTGCCATGTTCCCCCTGAGAGGAGAGTGTGTGAGTCAATTTACAGTTGGAGGAGGACACTTGTGTGTTTCTCCGAGATGCCGAAACGGCCCGAGGCGTACAGTACACACACACTTTTACATGGAAATTCACCTCCACACACAAACACACTTAAAATAGCAGTAGCTTCCGTCTGGGTACCACTATATAACATACAGAATGTGTTTGAGTTTGGTTGATACCTCTGGAGATTTAATGGACTTCTTAGTTATGTTTCATTTAAGAATCAACTTTGTCCCGGATGTTTCTCTTAAAATTCTTTTGGAAAAATAAATAGACGCAATGAGGAAATTACTGTAGAGAATGAATGAAAATGTAGTTTTGGGAGAATGTGATGAGAAATTGCTGTCTAGAAGAAATATTTAAGAGATATTATTCAAGAGATTTTATTTGTGAGTTTTTTGTGGGAAAATGCAGTGTTGATGGAAATCTTAAATCACTTGCATTATCATAACAGTGTTATTTTAGTATCATTGATATACTATTAAAGTTTCTGTTAATATTTTGAATTAGATTCTATTTTTACATTGTCTGTTTTCACTATAGGTTTATAGTTTTAGTCATTTTGTTGTGTTTTTGGCATTTTTAAAATGTCTATATGATATTACTTTTTTATTAGTTTTAGTTTATTAGTATATTAGTTATTTTAGTACTTCATCTTAAACCAAAACGAGAAATAAAATAAGTGAGTTTTTTGTATTTTATTTCAGTTAACATTTACTTTTTTTTTTCAAGCAACAGTTTTTTTTTTTTTTTATGGTTTTGGTTTTAGTTTTGTTCATTTAAAATGGCAGGCCTGTTGGAGTCATTTGTAAAGAATATGTGAACTGAATCTTTGTGTGTGTGTGTCAGGAGTGTGTACAGGACAGTCCGTCTCCTGCTCCGTCTCTGGAGGAAACCCCTCGTCCCGGATCACAGCCCTCTTCCCACCCCAGCAGTAGTGTGTCCAGCTCCCCAAACCCACACACACAGAGTCATGAACGCCTGGGTCAGTACAGACACACAATACTATACACATTTAGCTTAAATATGTCTAATACCCCTCATAGACTGATTGTTTTCTATAAAGCCAATTATAATGACTACAGACTAAGCCACCCACAAAAGAATGAAAAAGGCATAATAAAACAAAGATATTAGATTTACAAATGACAAACTGCTCCCAATGGTAGGCAATTACATCCCTATCAGAATTACATCACTTCTGGGACAACTAGATGCATGCTTTCTCTTTATGTGTGCAGTTTTGAACCCAACCGATGGAGAACTGCCAGAACGAGACACCGGCATCAATATGAAGAAAATCCTTAAAGAGAAAGGTTAGTTCCTCAACAGCACACTAAAACACTGTCTACACCACAAGTGCAGTCACATTCAAAAATTAATTTTGTTTGCTAAAAAGCTTAATTGTCAATAGTGTAGCAATGCATCAAGCCCCTTTGTAAGTCAACGCAACAAATTTGTGGGAAAAAAAAACCTCATGTAAAATCTGCAGGAGGGAATTTTTCATCTTTTTGCGAAATTCCCGATCGACTGAAATGACTGGATTTCACCTGTGAAATTTTGCAGTAAATGAACACTGTATCCTAACCAGGTGTAATGCAAATTTCCATTGTCAAATGTGACCCTAGACCACAAAACCAGTCATAAGGGTCAATTTTTCGAAATTGAGATTTATACATTATCTGAAAGCTCCATTGGTGTATGTTAGGATAGGACAATAATTGACCGAGATACAACTATTTGAAAATCTGGAATCTGAGGGTGCAAAAAAATCAAAATATTGAGAAAATCGCCTTTAAAGTTGTCCAAATGAAGTTCTTAGCAATGCATATTACTAATCAAAAATTAAGTTTTAATATATTTACAGTAGGAAATGTACAAAATATCTTCATGGAACGTGATCTTTACTTAATATCCTAATGATTTTTGGCATGAAAGAAAAATCAATAATTTTGACCCATACAATGTATTTTTGGCTATTGCTACAAATATACCCCAGCGACTTAAGACTGCTTTTGTGGTCCAGGGTCACAAATAATATCTCTTTCCTCATCGAAAGTGAAAATGCTTTTATTTTTACTAACAAATCGTGATTCACCAATAATGGGTTTTTTACTTAAATTTGATCTACATTTACAGAAAAATATAGAAACAACTGAAACCATATGTACATAACAGTCACTTCGGGTGGTCTTATAAACTGTGGGTTTTCAAAATGAAACTGAATACATATGTATTTGATCTTATATATCTCAAATTCGGAAGTTTCCTGTGCCCGTAAAAACAAAGAATCCCACAATTATTATTTTGTTGTAGTAACAATACAAAAACCCATGTGTAAGACACACCACTCAGATGTGAGATGTAGAGCACGTTTTCAACATCGTCTCAGGAACAATGTAGTAAACGCAGCCGTCTCCTAGATGATGCCGGTTTAGCACTGACGAGTGTATTGACATCACGCCTAACATTTGAATGCGGACTGATGCTCGTTAGTGAAATTTAGACCCCGTTGGTTTAGACTGGCAGTATATCAGCGTCACAACACTTCTCTTTTAATTAATGACTTAATTAGGAGCTTAACTGAACATGTATGAAGTTCATATTTACGGCCTGTGTGAGTAGATGAGTGTAAGAGAGCTGTTAGAGCAGCTAAGTGCGTAATACATCATTATAAGAAAATGTTTTTTTCTTTTTCTATGACGCAATGATACGCAGGTGTGTGTGTGAAAATCTCGAATGTTGTGGTGTGTGTGGGCACCGTTTCTGGAGTGTAACTTGTGTGTGTTGGTACAGCAGGTGGCGGCCCCTAACGCACATCACACACGGGGCTGCTGGGAGGAGACGATGCGAAGATGCCCCGAGGCTCTCTTAAAGAGATTCAGTGTGCACCTGGCCTCCGACCATATTTTATTAATGCATCTGGAAAAGAATCCACCCTAAACACACACACACAAATGCGTGAACACCGCAAACTGCTCTTGTTTTTAAAAGTGCAGCATGCCGCATTTAATGCAGGGTTGAGAACAGAATGCAGGACCCAGGAAATTTAGGTCACTGACCGCATACACTCTCACACATGTTCTTAATCTCTCCCGCTCATTCCAGGAAAGTCCAAACTCACGACTTCTGCGCTACTTTATCCAATCTGAGCGTCAGTTTAACCTACATACACACAGCAGCGGGCCGCTCTGAACACCTGAGAGGATTGACTTCGTAAAGATTTGCTATGATTATATCAAATATGTCTGCTCTAGTTTACTTCTGCAATGTACTGTCCAATTGTATTACATGCTGCTGTGAATTCTCTTCTGTTCTTGTTAGTGTGTCTTTTCATTGACCAGTAATTCTTTCCCCTTCATTTTGTATCTTCCTTCTCTAAGTACCTATTAATCTTTATTTTTTGCATTTTTTCAGTTTAATGTATTAGAATGCCATATTTGACCCAGAACGGACAGAAGATGCTGAACTCTCATATCAGAAAAGCTAATTTTTATATTTTCTGCAGAAAGTGTGAGTGATGTTTGCATGAGCAAAACTCGCCACCACGATGCTTGGGTGTTCTGGGCGGTTGCCAGGATGTTGCTGTGCAGTTGCTAGGATGTTGCTTATTGGCCGAAGTCTCTATGATATTCTGGCCCCTACATATGGTCTATGGGATTTTTCACATTTTTAATCGCCTGACAGGTGAAAGTCTAGTCACTCAGAAAAATAATAACACGTATGTCTTCAAAAAGCAGCATAATTTGAGGTTTCCATTTGTAGAATAAATGGTGAGGGAATGTTTTATAAAGTACAGTTTAATTCCTAAAATTTTAGCGTAATATCTCTTTATTCTGGTAGCAAAAGTAAAAGTAAAGAAAAAGTATGGTGGTCACATTAGCAAAATTTCGGTGAGATCCATTGTCTATTGTCAACAGTGTAACAATACACGAGGCACATCCCACAAACAAGTCATTTTTAAACCAATCAGTTTTCTGTTGAACACTTGAACCTGATCCACGCAGCCAAATCGTCCGCCTTCACGCAAAAGTCCCAAACACATGGATTTTATTTAAAAGACTGGATTTCGTCTGTGAACATTTTTTTTTTTTAATTCTTCGCAACCTCAAATCTAAAGTTAACAACCTAAAGTTAAAAAGATCAGGGACTCACAAACGTAGATTACTCGGGGCCCATTTTCCCGAGTCCTCACGAAAGGGCCATTGAATTTTAAACACTGTTTGGCCTGTGTGTGTGTGTCGGTGAGGATAAACAAAGTGACGTGGTGGTACGTGGTGATGAATGGTGAAGCCCGGGGCCAGGAGCACTGTGTTTCAATGGGACTTTAGCGAGTGAACCCCCTCTCTAGCTCTCCATAAATCACTCGTTCTCTTTACCTCTCTTCCTCTCTTTCACTCAGGGCTGGTTGAATGCCAACAGGAGCTGCTCTCACTGCAGGCAGGGTCTCTCCTTTCTTCCATTAAAGAGCAAAAGGAAATTCTGATATTATTCTGTGTGGTTTTGGTTCACGTGCGAAGCATTTAGCACACACTAACATCAATCTTACAATCAGGCCACTGACTCTCACAGGCCTTTGAGAAAAGTGTGACCAAGCCATGCAGCGGGAATGCGAAACGGAATGTTTTTCCACACATCAGTGACATTAGATATGGCCTATTATTATTGTTAACTGAATCCCAAATTATTTTGTGAGCAGAAACCAAGCGACCAGAGCTGAGAGGCTAATGTTTAGGAGGACAATTTAGAGCCATTCAAACTAAGAAAGTGTTAGTAATTTGACTTCTTGTTGGCTAGAATGTTTAATTTACACCTTGATTAGGATGAAATATAAGTCCATAATCTGGATTTAAATTTGACTAATTCACCAACAAACATAACAGACCTGACAGTATGCTATGCAGGTACCAGTGTGTTTCTCATTGGTGTTTGTTTGTAAAATCACTTCATTGTACACATAAAGTCTAGTCCAGTGTCAAGTCTATACGTGTTGTATGATAGTGTGCTAATGTATTTGGCTTGAGCTGATGTGAAGCACTTTGGCTATAGAAGCACTTAGTGTACGTTTGTGTGTGCGAGAAGAAGCATGGGTAGGCCGAGACTTGCGCTCCGTAATTGCTCTGTCCAGTTTTCCACAGAGTAGATATGTAGCATCTGGTTACAATCAATGTTTCCCTCCGCTATTATGAAATTAGCTGCGCGGAAATGATTTGAAATGGCCTGTAATGATTTCTGATAGAAATGTGCGCCATTGTTTCACCCTTTGAGATAAGCGTGCTGGTAAATAAGTCACAACAAACGAAACGATCGCTTTACCTCGTTCCAAGTCAGGGATCAGGCCTCAAACGGCAAGCGCTTGGCTTTTCGAGCCTCGTATTTTTAATCTTCATTTTTGTTTGTTTATTCGCAAGCTCCTCCTTCAGATATGTGCAAAGGGGACCATCCATGGGCTTTGAAGACCCTTTTTGATCATTAGGTTGATTGCTGTTCTAAGCGCGTTTGTGATGGTTTAATTAAACCAAGACCCTTTGCGGGGCCCCAGCGGCCCTCGAGAGCTCTCCGGCTGGAGGGTTTGAGGGTCTGCTCGTGGCGCGCAGCGTTTCTCTTTGTGTTAATGACGAGGAATGGATATTAGGCGAGGAAAATCAATGACACGTTGGAAAGAAAAAGTAAACTGTTACAGTTAGCAATTTGGGGCAAGGTTAGCGCGGTTGAAAGTCACCCCACAAAAGCGACATTTTTGGACGAGAACACAAGTGATAAATGATGTGCGCTCTATCTCCTCCTCTCTCCCGCGCACACACACACAGATGAAGGCAGAGAGGAGGAGAAGGGTGAGGACAGGTGCTTGTGTTCTGCTCTGGTTCTGAGGGAAGAGTTGGAACAGGTTTTTGTCTCTCAGGCTTGCACGCTCTCCTGTGCGGTGTCACTATCGCATCCGAAGTAAAGTTGCCCCGAGGCAGACAGAGATAGTCGTACCGATAAAAGAAAACAATACACGAGCCAGAATTAAATAATGCCAATTACCAGTTTACAGAGAAAGCAAAGCCATGAACATATAGACATGCACAGGTCTAACTCTACATCATATACATAAAAATTGAGCTTCTTCTAACATAGCTAGATTCTAATGCTAGTCGTTGGCGGTTGGTATCAGAGGAAGAGGATATTCTCTTCTGTAGTTGACATTGTACTGTGGGGAATAAAAATAGTATACAGCCCTGAAAACAAGATTTGAGTACCAGAAGCTACTTTATATGCTAGCATACTTGTATGCTAGCATTTACTTGCATACAGACATACATATAGCATTTAC